AAATTGATGCTTGTTATTACCCTACTGTCTGACGCAGCTCTAGAGATCCTAGTCAGTGATGTTAAAAATAAAAATAAGAATGTTAAGAACTATAAGGAAAGGAAAAATTCATTGTTTACAGTCAAGACTGGACCTAGTGGTTCACACCTGTAACCCCATTTACTCAGGAGGCTGAGGCAGGGGGATGACAAGTTCAAGGCCAGCCTAGGCAACTTGGTAAGACGCTGTTTCAAAACTTAAAATAACAAGGGCTAGGGCGTAGTTTAGTCATAGAGAACTTGCCTGGCCAGAACGAGGCCCTGGATTCATTCCTCACTATTTCTCCCCACACACAAAAAAAAATGGGGAAAGAACTTCAGTAGCGATTTTTACAAATGGCCAAGGAGCACGTGAACAAATGCTCGTCCTCACCCATCAGTAGAGAAACGCAAATCGACCCCATACTGAGAATCAGCTGCCCCTGTTTGGATGGCTGCTGTAAGAAAGAGAAACAGGGGAGGAGAAGGACAGCAAGAGAAAGAGAGGAAAGGAGGGAGGCAGGGAAGATGGAAAAAGAAAATAAGTGGAGGTGAGGCCGCAGAGAGACTAGAACCTTTACACACATCGTTGGTGGACTTGTATCACGGTGCAGCTGCTGTGGGAAACAGCATGGCCATATCTCAAAAAATTAAAACACGGAACTCTCGTATGATCCAGAGCGCCACTCCTGAGTGTAAGCCCAAAAGTACTGAAAGCCGGCACTTGGGCAGATGTGCACACCCATGTTCCTGGCAGTAATTAGGCCATAGGTGGAAGCAAAACACAGGCCATGGACAGATGAACGGGCAAACAAAGATGGTCTACACACACCGTGGGTGACTCAGCCTTCAAAAGACGCAATGTCAGCCAGGCGTGGGGGCGCACACCTGTAATCCTGGCACTCGGAAGGCTGAGGCAGGAGGATCACTGTGAGTTCGAGACCAGCCTGGGCTACATAGTGAGTTCCACATCAGTCTTAACTACATAGTGAGACCCTGTCTCAAAAAAACATACACATACACAAAAAAAAAAGACACAATGTCAACACATGCTATTACACGGATGAGCTTTAAGGGCATCAGGCTAAGCAAAATAAGCCTGTCTCAAAAAACAAAGACTTCATTCATAGTTAAATGGGTACATTTTGAGGATATACTTCTAAGTGAAATAAATAAGGCACACATATGCAAATAGTGTCTCTGGTGTGAAATACCAAATAGTACTCTGGTGTGAAAAGCTATAATAGTACTCAAGATCCTAATGGGACACTTAGCAAATAGGAAGAAACGGACCAAAGGTGTAGGGACATTGAGAAGGATAGGGAAGGGGGAATAAGGGAAAAGGAAAAAAATATGAGAAAATGTAAAAGTGGAATTAAAGTGTTTGAAAGGGGGAGGGGAGGGGAGGGTGAAGGGAGGGTGGGGACAGGGGGAAAAAATGAGAACCAAGACCTGTCATGTAGAGGTACAAGATCCCAGTGATGAGTGTAACTGCACTGTCTGCCTAGAATGTGCCAATAAATTCAATTTTTAAAAAAACAAAGGCTTCAGTTACATGAGGGGCTGAAGCAGTCAAAGCCATAGAAACAGAAAGGAGAATGATGATCACCCGGGGCGGGCGAGGGGAAACAGAAGTTTGTGTAATAACAGAGCTCCAGTTGTGCAAGATGAGAAGGTTGTGGACATTGAGTGCATGGAAACTGGGATGCACTTAATGCTGCTAAATTGTACGCTTTAAAGTGGTCAAGTGGTACAGTTGTTATGTTTTTACCATTTTTTTAATTGGTAAGTTTTCTCTTCACTAGAAAAGGATTCAAAAATAAAATTACAAAAACACACAATAGCCGCAAAAGCTATAAAATTTCTAAGAATCAACTGAGCCTACAAAGAACCACTCTGAAAAAGTAAACTTTAAATAGCCTCCGCTTTTGTGCAGGACGATTAAAAGAAATCAATTACCCCCAAATTGCTTTGTAAATTCAGTATAGCCTTGATCAAAATTTAACAGAGGAATTCAATAAACTTCCTGTAAAATGTGTATGAACTGCGTGAATGTGTATGAAAAAGTAAGCAGAGACCCACGGCAGAGGGCCAAGGCAGCCCACGCTCTGCCCCCTGCCCTGGCGATGGCTTCTCTCCTTCTGTTGCGAATGTGCTGCCCGCACGTGCTCCGCGCCTGCTGTCCACTCTTCTCCGCCTGGTGTACACGTAGTGCTGGCCCGTGTGACCAGGGCAGCCGCCTCTTGCTTTCAGCCTCAGCCCGAGAGCAGACAGAGGGCAGGACGAAGTCAAGGTTGCCCTGTCTACGCTCAGCTGGAGCCGGCTGTCCCTGCACTGAAGGTGACCACAGTAGAGGACTTGCTCTCCTGCCGGGTTCTGGCAGCCTACCCTGTCCCTGTGCCGCCAGCTCTGGGGTACAGTACCAGGCTGCTGTGCTCAGCCCACTTCTTTATAAACACTTCCTTGTAAATAAACTCTCCCTGAACTGTCCTACCTTGTGTGCGCCATCTGGTCTCTATGGACACTCGGACATGACGGAGCACCGGGCTGGCCAGGAGCTCTCCCCGGCCTCCCGTGCCACGCAAGAGGCAGGGTCTGGAGAGCAGTCTCTGAGTCCAGTGCCTCCCCACTCTTAGGGGACACCCTGGGGACAGTCTGTCCCCAGATGGCAGGAGGATGGCAGAAAGCGCAGAAGAAACCCTGCACCTTGCTTCAAGACAGCCTGGGGCTCTGAGGAACGGCAGGCCCTCCCCACAAAACAAGTGCACAGGGCAGAGCTCCACCCTCACCTGTCTTCTGATTTGCCCAGTTTTACTTCATTATGTGAGCAAACTGTCTAAAATAACTGTGCTGAAATTCCTTGTCCATTCCTTTGTGAATGTGTGCAGGGGCGGGAGACAGCAAGAACCATAGCAGTGTTCTCCTTCAGCAAAAACTCCGAGGCTGTGCCTTCCCATGTGTTGGGGTTTTCTTTCCATTTTCTCTAATGGGCAAAGGAGAACCTCAGACTTGGGGTGAACACGTCTCTGTAAGGCCCCGTTATCTGCCCCAGGGGTTAAAGGAGGCTCCTGCCCTGGGCCTGCCTCGTGGGCATAGACCCAGTTCTCTCTCACATGGGCCCACAGCTGGACTCGTGACCCTTAAAGCGACTCATCTGGAAGTTCAGCCTCTACAGGAGCAAGACGCACAGGTGGAGAACCACTCGTGTGCCACTTGATTCGATATAACACAAAAGACTCTCTCTCTCTCTGTCTCTCTCTCTGTCTCTGTCTCTCTCTCTCTCTCTCTCTCTCTCTCTGTCTCCCTCTCTTCCTCATGCACACACACAGCTTTGTGGGTGCCCTATCCGTTATCACGTTCTGCGGTCCTCATACGGCCCTGGAGCCAGCCCACCCTCTCCTACCTCCTTCTGGGCAGCATTCTTTACACTATATCAGCAGTGGAACTCCCTTTTGTGCTTAAAGTAAATCTGGCTCTCAGGACCCCAGGAAACCTACGTGGCACTTTTTCTATCTGTCACCTGGAAAGGGACAGCCTTCCCTCTCAGGCAATCTGCACGGATGGATTCTGAGCCTACACTTACCGGTTAACTCCTCAGAACACATTGCTCTGCCTCCTCCTGTCCTTTGAACTCACCAGCCTTTCCCCTCCCACTGACTTCTTCCGTGAACTCTTTGTAGAAGAGACCCCCTAATCCCCAAGATCCTGCCGAGGAAACCAGGGATGTGGTAGAGATCAATTCATTGATTGGAAAAAACACTGAGCGTCGACGCTGGACATCAGATTTGTATGAACAGCCCTACCCCCTCTTCCTCCAGGCACAGAAACGGTCTGAGGACAGAGAGCTGTGGGCCCCGTGGACACCTCTGCCACCACCCACAGGAAGCTCTACACACGATCTGCCTTCTGATTTCCTTTCCCTGGCCGGCCACTTCCAAATCTCACGGGTTCCTACACCGACACCCACACACAAACGTGTCCGAAACCCGCTTCCCCTCCACGGCCTCTGTTAGGAAGTTCGTTCGTGACCGCCCTCAGTTTGTTCCCATGTCTTTGGTTTCTTCTCTTCGCTGGCAGTTGAGTTCCCAACTGCAATTCCAAAAGCCCAAATTTCTGTGCCCAGCAGGTGCCTCCACTGGAAAACAAATGGCTCCAGATGCCGGTCTCTCTTCCACAGGTGAAATTTATCCCTACAGAGCAGGTATCCCTTGGATTTGGGGCAGAAGGGGATGAGAAGGGACCTTCCACTTAGGTGTTACGCACGCATGAAGATCTTCAAGATAAAGTGCTCTGCTTATACTTACCTCCAGCTCAGTTAGACAAACTCTCCTAAAAGTTTTATTCTTTGACCTTGGGAAGTTATTTAACCTCTCTTCACCCCGTTTCTTTGGTCTGTGACACGGAAGGAAATCATGCGTTCCCCATGGGGGTCGCTGTGACAAGAGAATGAGACATAACATAAAGCCCTGGGCCCAGGGACGAGCAGGTTGCTGAGCCCTCAGCCTCATTCCTTCCCCAGTCGGGTGTGGGAGAATTACCGCGCCAGGACTCAAAAATCTGAAACCAACCTCTGAATCCTGACTTGCTTTCTCACTGTTTTTTTTCCAGTGTTCTACCACTGAGCTACGACCCCAGCCCTTCAGTCCTGCCTTTCTGAGGGGCTCCCTTGTAACAAAGATCCAATAAAAGAATGCACACTGAGCCCTCGGAGTGATACCTGGCCCGGAATGCTGACTAACTGATGAAAGCTACTGTCACCACTGCGGCTCACCACGTGCCGGGCGTGCTCCGAGCGTGTGCAAGTGCGAACACACTGAGTCCGCATAAGACCCCGCATGGCTGCGTGAGCTGCCGGCCCCCTCCCTCTTCCTTACTCTGACTCCATCCTGCACCGCCATCCTTGGCTTTCTTTTCATGATCGCCTCAAAAACCGCCCCCACTTCTGTTGTGCCAGGAAAAACCACATGGAAAACCGATTCTTCCTCCAGAGTTTATTTCTCAGGGGTGGTCACCAGCGGCTCTGTCCTCTGCGGCAGAGTGGCACCCTCAGGAGAGCTCCCTCCTGATTTTGATTCACCCCAGAAATGCGACCTTGGATGATAGTTTGGGGGAACTTGTTCCCAGGAATGTGCTGCTACAGTTTACTTAGGGGGAGCCGGGAGATGCAAAGAATTGGGCAGAGGAACCTTAGAATCCAAGAGAATATGGACGGACTGGACACGTTGAGGAGGAGGGACAATGGCAGCGTCGTGAAGAGTTTGAATTTCCTTCTCACGTGGAGTGGAAGTTGTAGGATTCTGCCCCTAGGAAATGTGTCGTCCTGCAGAAGAAACAGAAAGGGCGTGGTGATAACAATCCAATTTAACCCCGCCATTTTCCGCTGTAAGTGTCCCACGCCAAAGTCTTCGTACAGGGATGTTGAGATTCTAGGTCACCAAAAATTAATGCACCACAGCTCCCTCCCCACAGACGCTCCTCCGGGAGGAAGACCTTGTGGGATCCCTCTTTCCTCTTTCACAGTCCTCACCTCAACTATGGCACCTGGAATCAGCTCACCGTACCTCACAGCAGCTCACCCCTACTCTGGCTGAACACAGCCCTGACTCTTCCTACCCTCCTCCCCTCTGAAGGGCCAGGGGCGAACCGAGCGATAGTGATGTTACCTTTAGTATAAGTGGATCCAGGGAGGGGAGTGTAGCCTAGGAGAGGAAGATGCTTGATTAGACCAATAAAACTACCTGGCACTATTCACAGCACACAGGGTAGGACAGTGAGCATCGATCACAAACAGAAAATGAGGCGAGACCAGGGACAGAGCGGAGATGGGACCGTGAGGGTCACTCACTGGAGGAGCCGGCCTTCCCCCAGCTGCTCAGGCCGATGGAGAAGATAATGATGCCCAGGCCCAGGGTCACCGCAGACACAGAAACCTTCACGGTCTGCATGGGGGACAGCCCAGGAGCTACAAGAAATCAGGCACTTATCAGAACCAATCTCTGTGACTCGTCCTCGGAGAACTGAATTTACTGCAACCTCCCCTTAGAAGTTCAAAGGTTCCTTATCACAGCCCCCCTCCCCCGCTGTCTGGCCCACACCAACCTGTCCCCAAGGAAATGGCCTTCCTCAAAACTCATCCGTGACCCTCTCGTCCCGGGCTCCGGGAGCCTCCCGTCAGGTCCCAGCTCCCCCGTCCTTTCTGACACAGTGGGGCTCTCCTCTGGGGGCTTCCTTGCTCCTCTCTCCTGTGCCCCCTGGTGACTGACAAAGTCTGGTCTCTAACTCGCTCATCTGAGCAGTTTCCTGCCGAAAGGTCTTCCCCCTTTCCTGACCTCCAGGGTGATTTCGGCTCCTGTTCGTGTCTCCAAATCCAGATTTCCTGTGGCGCCTTCCAGGGTTTGCCTCCACCCTGCTCCACTTGCTAGCACTGGTCCTATTCTGAACCGCGTCCCACTTGGATCCTTTTCCCATGGTAAAATGAGAGCTGCATCACCGAGGAAAACTCCTGCGCACTCTGTAGCCTCTCTCTCCCGGGGAAACTCAAGCGAGCGTGGAGTTCCACTCTCTCCCCGTTCCCTGCGCTCCGCTCAGCTGTTCAGCACAGGGACCCTGCTCCCTGGCTCCTTCTCCCTTCCTCATTTCTCCTGTTTCTCCCATAACCTCGCACGCTGTGTGCAGCTTTTCACTCTTTCTAACCTTGGTAAGCACCCGCCATGGGTTTACCACCCTATTAAGCTCCACAGAGCGGCCAGATCCAGTGCTGCCCCACGCCAGAAGAAAGCCCCCTTTGCCAAGCTTCATGGACCTTCAACACCTGTCCTTGAACTGATAACAGAACAGCTGGGATCTGAGCGCACTGGGATAGCGAGGCTCAGTGTTTGATTCTAACGATGCATTTACCAAACGTAAGTTCTCTTTTGGGGACAACCATCCTCCCCTCCACCCTCAAGCACAGACGGAGCAGCAACACCAACCACACCGCATCTGCAGAACCACAACGCCCTGCTCTTCCCATCTCGTCGCTGGTCACGAGCCCTCCGTGAGCTTCCCCAGACTCACTTCCCACTCCCAACATCTGCCCCTCTGCCCCACGCCGCCGCTGCCCACATCTCGTGCCCTCCGCCAAAATTCTGCAGCTCCTTTTTCCAACCACCATCTCCTGGCACCTCTTGGCTTCAACCCTGGTGCCTCCCGCCTGCCACAACTTACTCCAGTCCTGACGTGTGGGCTCAGAGGTCCCAGCGTGCTCCACGACACAGGTGTAGACGTCCCCGTGAGAGGGGGTCAGGGCTAGGTGAGAAATGGTCTGGTACGTCCAGTCTCCGTTGGGCTGGGCCGTCTTCCAGACACTGCTGTGAGGGGTGACAAGCTGCCCGTTCTTCAACCAGCTGATGGCCACGTCAGCGGGGTAGAAGCCCCACACGTAGCAGGCCAGCATCACGGGCTCCCTGGTGTTAAAAGGAGTGGTTTGGGCAACCTGCACCGACGGTGGTTCTGCTTGGGAGAAAAGCACAGTCGGGAATGAAGGTGGCGTCCTGCTCTCTCTCCAGCTTCCTCTCTTCCCCTCTTCGACGCCTCATACATTTTGCCAATGGCTTCCCCACTCCTCCCCTGTGCTGAGCCCCCACAGGAAAGTGAGGAGCCGCAGCGCCTCCTGTTTCGCTGTTTTTCTCTCCCTCTCCCTCATTGTCTCCCTCAATTTCCTTTTCTCTTTCAAAATTACGTTTCACAGTCATTGTGTCTATTTCCAGTGCGTTAGCTTGAAAGTACGTAAGCAAGAGGTAATCCAGGACTGTAAACAGGGGTGGGGGCTCCGAAATCTTGTTCCACAAATCAGTGTGTTAACAGAAGCTTCTCCTGGGTCAGTTTAAGGAAACAAGCCTAACTCAGGACCGGCTCTCTTAAATTTGGAAGTAGTGTAGATCAAATTAATGAGGTTGCTAATACTGCAAATTAATCTTGTATTAATTTGTTCTTTTAGGTGACCCTCTCGCTTGCCTCTACCTTGGTGTTCTGCAGACAAAAATCTTAAATAAAAATCCAATACATTACATTAAAACCCTTAGCCTACAAACCCAGCTATTTTCACCCAGTGGATCTGGCAGAGTACCCAGGAGCTTGCATTTTTAAAAAGCGCTTCCTCCAGGCCATTCCGAGAAAGCGGGTTCAGACACTACCTCTTAAGACACACTGCTTTGCCCTCTGGAGATCTTCAAGTTTGTGCTCTGGAGACCTCAAGCTATTATCAGTGCAGGGCACCCAGGGACAGAGTGTGGACAGAATTCCCTGGGCGGCTTCTCACATATTCCCATGCCTAGGTTCACCCCAAATTAGAACGTCCAAATCTGGGACAGAGAAGCACGAACCTTCTGGAAAAGTCACTCTGGATACTCGGATCGGTTGAGCTTGGATCTGCACCCTGAGGCGCCCCAGCCTCTGCTGCTCTCTCTCCCTGATGTCTCCTCACCGACCCCAATGTCACCGCCCCTTCTTTCACTCACGTTCCACCCACTGATCGATCGCCACGCTTCCCTTGTTGTCCCGCCCTCCCACGTTACAGGTCTTCGTGTCTTCTGCTCCTCCCTGCTCGGGTCTCAAACCCCCGCCTGCCCTCTCCCAGCTGTGCTCCCTTGTGGCCCCCTGTGCCGCCTCTCCTCACTTTTCCTGTGGGTCAGAGACTCCCAGAAGGGCTGGGTGTGTGTGCCACAGTCTTGGAGTCCATTGCGCAAGCGCTGGAGCAGTCTTGTACTATTGTTGAGATAATTGGACAAAGACACGGCCAACATGTGCAGTGTCCCAAATTCACAGGGGTCCATTCTGTCCTTCTCTGGGTCCCAGCAGGTCAGTAGATCCTTGTTGTAGGAGATGCAGTACGTGAAGTCCTTCGGGGTCCCATTGTCATCCAACAGGCAGGTGCTCTCCACATGGGCCATAAAACCACCTAGGGGAGCCAGAGAAGGGAAGGCAGGGCAGTGTCTGCTGCAAGAAATGACAGAAAAACAGTACCTCTGCCCTCAGTCCCTGGCGCAGAGTCCCCCAAAATCCTCTTTGTGATTTTGTGAGTAACTGGGGGCTTGATACATCTTTTGTTCAAATGTTTGGTCTTTGACCCAGTGCCTGGCGCAGATCTCCTATTCGCTTGCAACCTCCTGTGTGATAGCAGCGTCTTTTGTTCTACTGAGGTGACTCCTGGTGGGCTCCTGGGTCAGGGGCGGCCACCAGAAAGATGAAGCAGTGATTAGAGGATCGGAATTTTTATTCCCATCCCAGGAATGGAAGAGGAGCTGGAGACTGAGTGGATAACCTGCCACACTTATGTAATAAAGTCTCCATAAAAATCTCTAAGCTTTGGAGCTCTCAGACCCTCTCAGCTGGTAAACACATCCATGTGCCAGGACAGCAGCACCCCAACTCCATGGGGACAGGAGCTCCCCGGTTTGGGACCCTGCTGGTCCTCATCTTACATACCCTGACAGTTCATCACCTGACAGGTCTTCTGCATCCTTTAAAGTAGTTTTGTAATAAACGGGTAATGGTAAGCAATCTATTTCCTTTTTAAGCAATCTATTTTCTTGGGTTCTAGCAAATGAGTGAACGCAAGGAAGGGGTCATGGGAACTTCTGATTTGTAGCCAAGTTAGACAGACATTCTGGGTGAGCCGGGGACCTGCGACTAGAGACTGGCGTGTGAAATGGGGGTGGGCGGTCTCGCGGGACTGAGCCCCTGTCGCCGTCCAGGGTCCAGCTGAATTATAGGATGTCCAGCGGCCGCAGGAGAATTGGTTGGGGGAGCAGTGTGAAGAGAAAGGTTAAGTGTGAGCACAGAGAAGAAGAAACAGCTGGTCTTTCCTGTATTCAGCTGGGAATCCAACCTCCGCTACACTCAGTTGCTTTGGCAGAGATTTCCCACCTCCAGCAGCACCTACTGACCAAGCTCACACTGCGCTGTCGGGGCCCCAGTGGAGGGAGGAGGTGGTAACCGAGCAGACGCAGCTGGGCTCCTATTGAAATGGCTACTGAGGTCGATCACAAAGTCCTATAGGGAGACCAGCTCGTCTGGGTGGTCACTCCCCCCCCCGTAACAAAACAATACTTTCACCCCAAAACAGGAGCGCGGGAGAAAAGAGTGTCGGGAGGAAATGCCCTTACCTGCTCCTGTACACCCCAGGCCGAGGCCCAGCAGCAGCGGCAGGACTGAGTTCATGCTCTGCTCTGCAGCGGCACCGGGAGTTCAGGCCCCTGGACCGGCTCTCGGCTCTCGCAGGGGACTCTGGGTCCCTCCTGCTCCTGACGACCGGGCAGATGAACAGTCTCACACCGAGCGGATGTAGTATTGCACGAGCCCCTGGGTCGTCCTTGCTAGATGAGCGATTCGGGGCTGCCCAGTCCCCCCGATATTCAACCTGTTCTTAGCACTTCTTCCGAGTCCTGTGTCCCAAACAGAGTTGTCACATTAAGTAGGTAGGCGGAGACACAGAGGTAGCGACGAATCGGCTGAGTGCCTCAGGCAGGCATCACCAATCACTAGGTAAACCTCATCCTGCCCAAGGCTTAGACAGCAGGGCTCCTGCGCTTGGCCTTTCTTCATCCTTTTTGTGTAAAACAACCAGTCTGCGCGTGATTTCCCGAGGTCAGTGGGGGGAATGTTTCCAACATTCCCAGGATATCTGCAGCCTGGGCTGCCCACTGCTCTAGATGTCTCCTGTCAAGGCCCTTCCAAAAGACCAGGACCGGATAGCCTCTCTTGGCCCTTACAGGAGGTTGAATAAACCCGTGGTCTGTCCCGTCACCCGGGAAAAGGGGAGGGCAGAGGACCCTTCCGGGTAGGGTGGCAGAGGCGGGGCCGGTGAGAAGGAAGGCAGCACGGGGAGTACAGACTCGGCTGGTCTTAGAGCAAGACTGCACAGCAAGGGAAGCGGTCCAGCTCGGAGACCCAAGAGAGGCCTGGAAAAGCCCCGCGTGGGCCCCCCCCCCGCTGCTTTTGCTTTAGCAGATCAGGCTTCGTTTCCTCCTCACCTAGCTGCTTTCTGGAGCCAGGAAACGCTGTCCTCTTACACCCAGAGCCATCCCTGGGGTGAACTTCGGGGCAGCTCTATCACAGCCCTGGGTGAGCAGCTGGCCATGGGCCCCAAGCTCACCTGTCCTCCCCAAACTCTGAACTCCCCTGAGCGTCCCCTGCACAGCCCGTTCTGTCCCCAGGTAGATCCCTGCAAGAAGAAGCCACTAGGACAACGTGCAGAAGCCTCTCCACTGTTCTTCCCCTGGAAAAGACAGATTTTGATTAGCAATTCATTCTTCTATCTCACTGTGAACCACACAATTGATGAATTTTTCATCAATTCATCACAATGTAAAACCCTAAATTGGCTCCCATCGGCTTCCTAAAAGGCGCCCAAGGTGCCTCTTCTTCCCTCGGATTCAGAAAGCTCTTGCACTTGATTTAATAGTGAGCCACACAAAAGGGGCTTGGGAGGGAGCCCCTGGACACCACACTTACTGTCCTCTCCCGAAGTCCCTGACCCCAAGCAAATCTGATATTTATGAAGAAAAAGAAAAAGGAAACAAAGCCTGTGTCCAGAATGAACTCAGTGATCAATATGAGAAACAAAAGATTCGTTCTGGATCCTGAGACTTTGCCTGTATTTCCTGGCCGCCCCATACTGGCGTCTGCCTTGGTTGTAGACGGTAATGCCCGTGCAGAACCATTAAGTGGGTTGCAGCAGGCAGAATTCGGGCTGCACAGTCTAGAGTGCGTTGAGCTTCAACTTTGCTATAGTTGACACCAGGGTAGGTTGTCCTCTATGTGCTGTCTCATTTCTTCTTAAAAGACTTATTAATCCTTTGCATGTTATAGCCTTGAAAATAGATCTTTTGTAAATAAGATGGGATCCAAACGATGAGGGGAGAAAAGGAGAATGGGATTTAGAAAACAGAACTGAGCCGGGGATTTAGCTGAGTGCTTCGGTGGCCTGCCTCCCAAGCGCAAGGGCCCGAGTTCGATCCCCGGTACAAAAAAAAAACAAAACAGAACTGAGATGTGGCATATACAAGCACCAACTCCCCACAAGGAATGCGATCGTCCCATACTACAAACACGGGATAGTAAAAACCAAAAGCTGAAGAAAAAAAGATAAATGGATGAACATTTTAAAAAGCAAATGCATCTAGAGATTCACACCCAAGATCTACAGTCTTTAATTTCTTCGCTGTTACAGTTCTTGTGCACACACCCACCCGTGCCCACACATTCACTGCACGCTACGGAGATGGCACAGATAACAGAAGTTGGTGAGGCCTCTGTCAGGCAAAGGAGGAAGAGAAGAGCCACAATCCACAACCAATCCATGCAAGACTCATCCTTCCTATGCTTGGAGTTCCTTCTCCTCTGAGGACCACTGTCTCTTCCACTTGTTGTTTCGACACCAAAACTGCGTGGGACACTGTACATTTCCCCTCACAGCCCCACAGGACCAGGTCTCGGCATCCTTCCCGGTGTCCACCCAGCCTGGCCCAGGTCCACTCGCCGTGTGGGCCTCTGCTGTCCCAGGCACGGCCCTGGCCAGCGGCAGAGCGGCCAAGTGGAGTTCCCGCTGGTGTCTGCGTCTCTGCTCCAGCAGTCAAAGGAGATGTGAAACCCCCTGTGAGGCAGCAGCAGGAAGTGGTGGGCGAGGATCTCGCTTCTCCATTCAAGTGAACACTGAGGGAGATTTTAGAATAAGGCAGGACAGAAAACCCAAGACCTTTGCTCTGCAGAGAAGTTTCTTCTTCATTTCCTCCTCTGCTGTTTCAACAGATGCTGCTCTATTCCCATTTCCAGACAACTCCAAAGAATATTTTAACTGCTCTGTCCATCCTTGCTTGTCTGATCAGTTTTGTGCAGCTCTAGGACTGAAGAAGTTCTGGAGCCCCACAGCCAGCTTCGCTGGTGGCCACAGAGTGCGTCCTCTGCTCCCCCACGGCCTCTCCCCAGCCTGGCCAGCACATGCCCGCCGTGGACTCGCCCCGGTGATTATGTGCACAGCATAACAGGAAGCCAGAGGTGGGACTACGGTCTCTGTTTCCATGGTCACCTCACTTGGAACATCTAAGGAGTGGGAACAAACACTATAGGAGATGCAGTTATGGTCAAACAAGAAAGCCAGGAAAAGAGGAAAGAGCAGTCACCGTGGGCATGGAGGACAAGGAACATCATGGTGGCTAAGGGGTCCCCTGATGGAGGGGGCCTGGAGGTGAGCTTGAATACCAGGCTGGATTCACGTGGGAGGAGAGGAAGACAGTTGGCATCGCAGGCCCAGCACACAGCTCCCTAAGCCTGGCAGCACTGTGAGGTGCAGCTCAGGGTCTACAAGGAGGCTGAGTTGGCGGAAACAAAAGCAGCCCCGATATCATCACCAGAGTTGTGTGTTAAAGGAAGCCAGCTGTTTTCTTGTCCCTTTCCTGAGAATATGGCCATAACATACTCTCTCCTCAGCATTCCCGAAAACTGCTCCGAGTCAGCTCTCAGGTTCTTCTTCCGGACAGAGGCTGTCACTCGAGTCTCCATCTTTATCAACAGGAAAAAAACGCCGTTCATTCAGTCAGTCACTTGCAACTAAAACCAATGGCACGAGACCACGGGGTTTTGACAGCCAAAATTAAATTATTCTATTCAGGGAAGGAATTGTATGCAAATTTAACTGGTGAACAGCAAACCGAAAGAAGGGATTTGCAATATCTATATTTGCCAGCAATTACTACAGAGAATATGCATATTCCCCCAAATTCACAAGAAAAAGACAAAATTGCAATTTTTAAATAGACAAAAGGTAAACCACGAAAACACCAACAGAAATGCCTGTGATAAGATGCCCAGCCTCACTGGTAAAGGAAAAAAGTTAAAACTATAAGCCGAATGTGGTCGCCTGTAATCCCAACACTCAAGAGGCTGAGGCAGGAGGATTGCCATGAGTTCAAGGACAAGCTGAACTGCTTAGCAAGAGCCTGTCTCAAAAAGATTTAAGAGAGAGCGAGATCCCGCTCTGTGCCCGCCATATTGCCAACACTGGAAAATCAAATAGTTTCAAGTGTTAGTGGAGACAAAAGGAAAGGAGAACTATCTTGTTCTGTTGGTGGGAGCATAGACTGTTTCTGATCCCTGAATTATAGAAACTACACATTTGTTAAGAAACAGATTTAGCATCAGGAAGCAAGATAACACATCCTTGAGAGGAAAGACCGGGTTGAGTGCTCTAAGTCTTGGAAGAATTTAATAAAGATGAGCTGGGACTGGAAGATCAGAAACTATCCACAGAAGCAGTTGAATGTGAAGGCCTAGAGTTAGTTAAGGTTTGAATGAACTGAGCAGGTTAAAGAAGACATTCCACCCCCGTTCCTGGATAGACAGAGCCAATGTAGACAAAACGGCCATACTACCAAAGCTTATATGTAGATTGAATGTGATCCCAATCAAAATACCAGCAGCATTCCTCACAGATGTAGGAAAAACAATTCTAGAATTCATACAGAACCAGAAGAGCCCCAGAAGAGCAAATGCAATCCTGGGCAAGAAGAACAAAGCAGGAGGCACCACAATCCCAGATTTCAAGTTATATTACAAAGCTCTATTGATAAAAACAGCATGACACTGGCACAAAAACAGACATGTGGATCAGCAGAATAGGGCAGAGGATGCAGAAACAATCCCAGGCACGTTCAGCCATGTGATCTTTGACAAAGGGACCAAAACATATACTGGCCTCTTTAACAAATGGTGCTGGAAAAATTCACTATGTCCACGCAGAAGACTGAGTCTAGGTCAGCATCTCTCCCCATGTACTAAAATAAAAGCAAAATGGATCGGAGAACTAAATATTAAAACAGAAACACTGAATCTCCCAGCCAATAAGTAAAACTCTTGAAGATACACGCATAGGCAAAGGACTTTCTGAACAGAACCCCAGTGCACAAGAAATAACACCAAGAATCAACAAATGGCATCAGATCAAATTAAAAGGCTTTTTCACAACAAAGATAACAACCAATAGAATGAAGGGACCACCTTCAGAATACGAAAATTATTTTGTCAGTTACTCCCTGGACAGGAAATAACACCTAAATATATAAATAACTCAGAAAGTGACCCCCCCATAAAAGACCCAATCAGAAAACAGGCAGCCGAAATGAGTGGACACTTCTGGAAGTACAAGTGGCCGGGCTGCAGCCATCCTACTTCCGTTGCCATCTGCCGCCTGCTCAGCAGGAGCTGGAGCCAAGGTGCCTCGGGGTGGCCATGGGCTCCTGGACAGTCGCCTGGATAAGGCACTGCTCCAGGGACCTGAGCAGCCAGTGAGGCTGAGGCAGGCAGCTGACAGAAGACAAGATGGTGGCACTGGGCCGGGAGGAGCTGGTGCTGGGGTGCCCCTGCAAACTCCGAGACAATGGCCAATAAATCCCCAAAGAAATGTTCAACACTGCCGGCCGTTAGAGAAATGCAAATTGAAACAACACTGAGATTATCTCACTACAGAAGGAATGGCCATTGTCAAGAAATCAAATAACAGCAAATGTCGAGGGTGTGGGGGAAAATGAACCTTCTGCCTTGCTGGTGGGAATGTCGACTCGTACAACCACGACGGAGATTATGCAGAGATTCCTCAAAAATCTGAAAGTAGAAATTTGACCCAGCTCCTAGGTACTTGAAAGAGTTAAAAACTAAATCTTTGAAGCAGCCTCTATGTCCATCAACAAATAAATGATAAAGAAAATGTAGGGTTCACACACAGTGGAGTATTGCTTTTCCCTAAAGGGTAAAATGGATGGGCCTTGAGACAATAATGTCAAGGGAAATAAATCAGACAGGTGCCAATTATGCACGTGTACCCCATGATGAATGCGACCACTACATACCACAAACACGGACTCATGAGACGGGGTGGGGAGAGAAGGCACCGAGGTAGAAGGAAAGAGCATGAACAAATACCCTCAAGTGAAGAAAGACCAGATTCTGTCGAGAACAGTGAAGGAAAGGGATTCATTCCCCCACTCCCTGGGCCAGGGCTGAGCTCAGTGTGGAGGACTTGCCCAGGATGCAAGAGGCCCAGGACAGAATTCCTGCTGGAAGTAGTGAATGATCTGGACCAGACCAGAGAGGGCCGTGAATGTTTCTGGGGTATTTAAGTGGCAGCGTGGCAGAATGCCGCAGGAGGAACTTAAGCCCATCATTCCACAGAGGAGGAACCGGGGCCAAAGAGTAGAAGAGTCTTGGCTAAGGTCTCGCAGGATGATAAAAGCAGCCTCTAGTGTTGACTGGCAGGAACTTTCTGGATGAGCTGGAAATGGAACAGAAATTAGGAAGAACTAGAGAGCAGTAAAGAGCAGATCCAGAAAGGTAGAACTAAAATGAAAAGAAAAGCATCTGAAGAGAAGAAATTACAGTGCTGAAGATAGTAGGTCTCAGAGAAGAGAAAGAGGTCAACGATCCTAACAAGGTCTGTGAAATTCTAGACGGGTAGCGTTAGACTAAGTTTTCTATCTTTTCTATGTGCCAGACACTATCCGAGGCATTCTACAGATATTAACTTATTTAAGATTCACGACAGTCCTGTAAGAGGAACAACCACTAAAAGGATATTTTCGTCCTTTTACAGAAAATGCTACCAAGCCGGAGAAGGGATGAGGAGCTGCCCTCAGGGGACGCGGCTCAAAACCCAGTGAGGACTGCACTCCCAGCTGTCTGCTTCCGGAGCTTTATTCTTCCTCACCTGTCCCGCCTGCTCTCAGAAAAGACTGCGGCTCAGGGGAGGGTCGGCTCCCGGGAGGAATGGGATATTTTCCCCGCCTGAGACTGGTATAACGTGACAGCCAGAGATTCCCTTAGCAGTACCCAGTGGCTTCAGGGAACACAGTGGGTGCAGAGTAGTTTACGAGCGTGGCCACTGTGCCCGCTCCCACTGCCCGCCCGGACAGCACCGCACAGCTCTCCCTGGCCGATCGCGCAGGTCCCAGAACAGTGCCGGGAGCACAGGCAAAGCCTTTGCCCTTCCAGGCTGCTGCGCCTCACTTCCGACGTCCGTCCGAGACGATCACACGCGGGAGTACCTGCCTCAGCGCTCCCAGGGGCGGGAGTTACATTTTCCTCGAGCAGCCTGTGCCTGGAAGGACATTTCCTCAAACAGTACAGTTCGGAAAACGCGCGCAAGTACACACGAGCAGCTCCCCCAACCTTCTGTGAGCAGATTATCAGAAAGCAGAGCGGCCCTGTTTTCTCACATATTTTGAGCAAGCTGATAAGAGCCAGAGCCAGAGCTGTGGGCTGAGGAGCGAGGCGGCGTTGCCTGCTCCCCTCCGTGCTCAGGTTAGGACAGGCTGGATTTGAAATGATCCAGAAACAGAAGTCATGGGTTCAGGAAGGAGCTGGGCGGCGCCGGGGAGTGGCTCAGCGCCACAGCACCCCCCAGCACACGTGAGGCCCTGCGTTCAATTCCCAGCACTGCCAAGAAAACAAAGGAAGGAATAAAGCAACACTGATAGTAAGAACCGAGGACTGAGATTTATTGCCTTGATGTGGGAAGGGAGGCAGTTGTGACGGGCGCTCTGGACGCAAAGCCAGGCGCGGCCCGGCCCCGCCTGAGTCACCGCACACAGGGCCCCCAGAGTGTCGAGGCTCTTCCTGCTCCGAGGAAAGACCGCACACAGCACGCGAGAAGGGAGCGTCCTTTGCTTGGAGACGTCACTGGCATCAACTCTAGTCAGGACGAATCAGTCTAAGGAGAGAGTAGGACGAAGCAGAGCCATCAGGGGACCCCCACCTCCCCAAGGCTTCTCTGCCTGTGCCACACCCTACTGAGGCCAAGCTCTTCTTGCTCCCAAAACACCTCCAAGTACCTTCCTCAGAGGCCCCGCCTCCCTCCTCTCCCACTGAAACCTCTCCCATGCCCCGATCTTGTCTGTGCCGGGTCCCCAGCTCAGTGGATGTGGCCGAAGGGGCTGGACACAGGCCTGTGGATCCCTGTGTGTCCCCCTCCACCACCGCCACAGGATAACCCTGGCGCACCCGGCTCCCGCCACCGTGTCTGCTCAGCCGCCCGTGCAGAGGACATACCTCCTGAGCAAGGCCCCCGGAAGTAGGCAATGAGGAAAGTGCCCACAATGATGCCCAGCACTCCCAGGCCAAAGCCCACACCGCACAGCACGTTCTCCAGGAGATCCGAGGGCAGGGCGTTGTGGGGCACTGGAGGAAAGGGGCTCAGGTCAGCGTGGAGTCCTGGCTGAGGAGTCCTCTGCCCAGGGCAATGACTCGGGCATCCGGGACGGCAAGGAGAAGCTGAGCCCGGGGCTCCGGGGAGGATGGACTAAAGGTCCAAGTAGAGAAAGAGCCCCTCCCACAGGTCTACCTCTTTTGCCTCTCTAAGGAGCAGACTTCCAGGGAAAGGGCCTCACCCCAGTAGGCAATCGCTGTGTAGCTGTCAATTTCATGAGTCGCCATGCAGGAGAAGACATCGGAGTATTCTGGCGTGAAGTTTAAGTAAGAAAAGGCCTCGAAGCCGAGTCCATCAACGGCTGAGACAAAAGTGGGCCCAGCTCCTTCCACCGGCTCAGAGTTATGCTGCCAGCTCACCGTCAACATGGGGGGGAAAAGATTACTGACGAGGCACACCAGTGTGTTGGGCTTGCCGAACTCCAGGGGCTTCAGCGTGAACACCTCAGGGATAGGGAAACCTGGAGGGGTTGAGGTGACAGGGAAAGAGGACAAGTTTAGATGGCGCCTTGGGGTGCGCAGAGGGTGAGGGCAGGGAAGGAGCCGACGGGTGGAGCGCTGGGGACAGTAAGGATGCCCCGACTCTCACCCCCCGGAAAACCCTAACCTCTGGACACCGGGATTTGCCCATCAAATATTGGGTCGAGTTGCTGGACCATTGCACTGCAGAAGTCTTTGTCAAATGCAATGGCAGAGGCATCACTCAGGTCCTGAGCCCAGTCAGTGAATTCAGGCAGGCGAGGCACTCGGGTATTCTTGGAAAAATCAAAGGAGAAAAGCTGGTCCTCGTCATAGCTCTCGGAGAGCCCGATGCTGGGAGTCCCTTCTTGGCAGAAGACCGTGTGCCGGAACGTGTGGTTCTGCAGGTCGTCCCGCCACACTGGAGTGTGAGCTGTGAAGAGAGGCAGAGCTCGGGGAGTGGGAGCTGAACCGCGGCGAGGCCTGCTGGGGTTCAGAGGGTGCGGTGCAAGCCCTTCTGTGTCTGCTGCTTAGGCTCCCCTCCCAACGGGGGTAAAGAAATAAGGAACTGCTCCAAGCCTCCCTTACCCATAAAAAGCCCAGCTGCCTAAAGTGACAGATTCGGCCATCTCCGGAGTGTTTGGGCACTGTGCAAAGGCACCAGCCAAGGAGGGAGACGGAGGCCAAAATCCAGCTTGGCAGCTGCTCACCAAGCCATGTGCCCAGCACAGTGTGCAACCCCACAGGGGGTACCTTTGCCTTAATCGGGCCTCTGGAGGGGTCCCCTGCCTTAGAAGACAGCGAAGGAATTACCGTGGCCTTGCTAAGCCGTCATGACACCGCCCTATCTCACCCTGCGCACACATGTAAACTGAAACCCGACTCCCCTCGGCCCCTTCACTGGCACCAGGCCTCCCTGAAAATCTCTTCCACCACGCAAAGCCTCCAGACCTCACAACCTGGCAGCAGGAAATAGTCCCTCTTCTTGAAAAGTCTTGGCAGGAATCCCCCAGCCAGCAGAAAACCTTCTTCTACCCGACATCCAGAATGACGGATGAAATGAGAGTAATCTTCCAGATTGCCTCCCATTCTGCCCCATCCTTCACACAGAAGAAACAGCAGACAAAGTTGGGTTCTCAAGCGTCACAAGGCAGAGTCTGATGACTGAGGGAGTCCAGGTGCATCGCGAGGAGAGGAATGGAGATAACTTTTGCTTTGCTCCAATCCCAGCCCTACCACTTTGCAGCAGTGTGAACTTATACAAGTCCCTTCAACTCGCCGGGGCTCACATTCTCCATGTTGAAATGGAGAGCAATCTCGGCTTGGAGAAGTTGTCTGAAGCGGAACATGTAAAACGCCGACAATGCCTGCGGCCATAAGCAGCAGCGCTTGCGCAACCCGCTACGGTCCCACCCTGCCCGCCTTCTAGAAAGCACAGGGCCCCTCTTGGGTGCTGGGGTGGGATCCCCGGGCCCTGTCGCGGGCGGATGGAAGTGGAGGGCAGGCGCCTGTCTCACCTGCAAGGACGGCCCAGGAGTGGGGCAGCAGCCACAGAAGCCGAAGGAGCGGCAGCGGCGCAGCGCCTCGGCCGGGCTCTCTATCCATACCTTCACACCACTCTGCAGGTGGGAGCTGGCGGCCCTGTAGACCCGGCTCCCGTACTCCCTCCCCCAGCTGGTAGGTAGCCTTCGGTCGATCTTGGTTGGCCAGCGCCTTTCCAGCGCCCCTTGTCATTTCCGCTAAACCAATCAAAGGAGAGTAGTGATCAGCATCATCTGTCACTGGGGAGAGACCGGGGCCGGCAGCCTCCTGCAAACTTGGCCCTTTGACCAGCTCCTAGCGCGGGGTACCGGGTGGGCGGGGAACTCCTGCCTCTGGGCGGGGCGCCCTCTGCAGCGTGGGCCGTCCGGCCTTTAGAGCAGCGCCGCCCGGTGGCTGACGAGGCAGTGGGCAGCACATCTCCGAGGACTCCCACCTCCTCCTCCCTCCACAGCCTCTCCTGTTTCTCGGGAGGGTTTCTCCTATTGACATTAGCTCTGACTCCCTCTGCAGAAACTTATTGAAAATGTAGTAAGTGCTGAGTGTTCAGCCCCGTTAGAAATTCCAGAAATAAAGCAGCCTCTACACCCATTATGTGAGAATGCATTGTGGTTTCAGTAACCTGCCATTAACTTCAGCTACCTAGAAAATTCCAGACGTAAACAGTAAGTTCTAAACTGTGCACCATTCTAAGCAACATGACGGAATCCTGGGCCATCTGTAAATCACCGCTTTGCCCAGTGTATCCGAGCTGTATACACCACCGGCCCGTCAGTCATCTCCTTTATCAGATTCATTGCCATTATATCGCACTACGTGTTCCAGTGAGCCTTATTTTAGTAATGACCCCAAAGCGCAGGAGCACTGATCATGGCAATTCCGATATGCCAAAGGGCAAGAAGTGCAAAAGCCCTGAGGTGTTTCATTTAGGTGAGAAGGCAAAAGTTCTTGGCTCTGTAAGGAAAGGGGAGGGGAAAAAACTGGGTGTGTACAGTGCAATAAAACATACATACACAGGGAGGGAGGGAGGAGGACATCCGCATAATTTTTATTACAGTATACTGCTACAATTGTTTTATTATTGTTGTTAATCTCTTGTGTGCCTAATAAATGTATTTTATCATAGTTATGTACGTATAAGAAAAAACAGTACCTACAGGGTTCAGAGCTATCCACTTTTTCAGGCATCCACTGAGGGACTCGCAATGTACCACCCCCCCCCCGTAGCAGACTGGTTTACAAGGTGGCGCACGACGGCCGCCCAGTCGGTGTGGAAAACTGCAAAAGGGACATCTGCGGGCTGGAGACCCGAACAATCCAGTCAAGTCGGAAGACGTGGAACTCACTGCAGAGCCTCGCTGGAGTCTGTATGGGGAAGCCAGGGGTCTGCGTTGGAAAACTGAAGATTCTGAGCCCGAAGGCTGACGGGTCTACCCTGGGCAGAAAGAGCCGGTGCTAGAAGCCTGGAAACAGGCCTAAAGGTGATGACAAAGGCTGGAGCTCCCCCAAGAAGCACAGCAAGACTTCCTTCTTTTCCGTTTTATTCCATCCAGGCTGAACGCCTGTTGGTTGGTGCCACCCACACCCACGTGGGTCTTCCCTGCTCAGTAAGCCCGTCATCCGGACACCCCCAGAACCACGCTAGACCAGTCAGCAGGGCGTTTATCGTTCAAGATGACAGCACGGTTAACTATCACAGCGAGGCAGCAGCTACTGGGTATGTTCCTGCCTTCAAAGAGTCTGCAGTCTAGTTGGGGAGGAGTCAATAAATACATAATTACACACAACGTAACATATGCCGGAATGTGCCCAGCCTGCCAGGAGGTGAGGGAGAGATTTTCCTCTTTCATGTCCCCCCCAGTATATTTCCATCTTGGAACCACCGGGCAATGGATTGAAACTATGAGCTAAAACAAACCTTTTCTCCTCTAAGTTTTCTTTCTCAAGTATTTGGTTACAGTGGTGAAAAGCTGACCAATACAGAAAATAATGTACAGAAAATCAATTTATGTGACACATAAAATAATTTATGACCATGTAAGTAAAAGTATGACTGTAGGGTCAGTATCTTTGGCTTCAAATCCACGCCCGCCACTTTCTGCTGAATAACCCTCTTCTCTCTGACATGCACAATGGGGATAATGGCAGCAGTTCTTCATTTGTTTGTTAATCCTTCCAACAAGTATTTGCTGAGTATGCACTATAGGTCTGTTGTTCTTTTAAACATTAAATATTTGGATATTTAAGAAGAAAACATTTTACTTTCTTGGCGGGGGGGTTGAGACAGGGTCTCACTGTGTAGTTGAGACTGACCTGGAACTCACTATGTAGCCCAGGCTGGTCTCGAGCTCACAGCGATCCTCCTGCCTCAGCCTCCCGAGTGCTGGGATTACAGGGGCGTGCCACCACGCCCGGCCAAAAACATGTTACTTTCTAATACATTAGTAATCCATACCATACACATACACAAAAAAACTATCATATATTATAATTGTCATAAGTTAAAAACAGCCAGGATGGGGATATAAGTCAAAACGAAGACAGTGAGAACTTAGCACTGAGAAAATTGTAGTGGAACAAAAATTTGAAGGACATAATCAGAGCAGGAATATATCTGGGAATAAAGCACACTGAGGGAAGAAACGTGGAATGCAGAGAGGCGTCAGAGCCTAAGTTACCCGAGGTTTAATTAGAAAACCCAGTGCAGTGAGGAGTGAGAGAAATGGATATAATAATGGGCAGACAGGAAACGACCAAGGCCGTCTGAATCAGACTCACAGAAGAGACTTAAACTCTTGGGATGAGGGAAAAGGGAAGTCCCGGGAGGCTCTGAGCCGGAAGTGGCTGGATTTGAGGGACGCCGGGGAGGAGTCAAGACGGCTACCACGCAGAGAAGAACGGTCTTATTTCCGAGGAAATGGAGTCGGCATGAAGAGTAAAAGAGCAGAGAGGTCGCTTAGAATCTATTACAACAACCCAGACGACTCTGCAGACTGGAAGAATCACTTAGTGGTAGCGCAAACAGAGGTCTCTCACAAAATATTCCAGAAGATGGCAGGGTTTCCATAAGAGGTAACGATAATATGAAAAAACTTTGAAATCTTATTTGAATAATACTTCTTCTTTCATCTTTGGATATGTGTGTGATAGGGAAGGGGTAATGACATAAAACATTATTTCACCCTAGTACCTTAAATTATCAAATCTTTGCATCATTAACCACTTATTAAAAATTACCAGGGTATCTCTCTTCATTCCATGGTATCTCAGCTTTTCAAAAATCTTTGTAGTACCTCAAATACAGAGAACATATAAGTAAGTAATACAAATACTGAAAAGAAAAAAACAAAAGAATGTGCCGAGTATTTAGGAAATAGTAATTTTGTGAGAATAAGAGGATGGGACATAATCAGGAAGGCTCCTGAGAATGTTTGTTTGTTTGTAGCTAAGACTTCACTATATAGCACAGGCTGGCCTTGAACTATGTAGCCCAGGCTGGTCTTGACCTCACAGCGATCCTCCTGCCTCAGCCTCCATCGGGCTAGGTGTACAGGTGTGCACCACCACTCCTGGTGGCTCCTGAGAATCTTGAAAGAAAAACAATTTGACCAGCAGAACATGAAGGAAGAGAAATACATCCCAGGGCAGGAGGCAGACAGATGCATGAAGATCAAAGGCGTCCAGAGTTCCTCCCCTTGGAGACTCCTGTAACAGTCAACAAGAAAGCTGTGAAGGTTGCTCACATGTTCTGGCGTGGTACTAGGGCTAGCAAGGGTGACAATGTTGAGCTACAAATTTAGGCAAGAGCCAGATGACATAGACCTAGACACACCACAAAGAGGACCTTTCACTTAGCAGATGAGAGGGACATTAAAACTGGAGAGTGGCACAATCATTTTAGCATGTTAAAGAAATCGTCCTGATATTTTAAACAATGGACTAAAGCTTTGGGGAAATGGAGGCAAAGCTACTAGTCAAGAGTCTATAGGAGTGACCTATTTTCTGGTCCCTTTTCTATCTCTCTTAGAAGCTATCTTTTACTCAATAAATTTTTCCTACTTGAAAAAGTTTACAGCAAAAAAAGAAAAGAAAACAAAAAACCAAAGGAAAAAGTACAGCAAATTATATCATAATTAAAAAGCTGCACACATACCACCTTTTTGTAACAATATTGTAATAATTTAAGCGAGGGCATATCTGTAATTCAAGCACTCTGGGAGTCTGAGGCAGAAGGATCACAAGTTCAAGTCCTGCCTGGGGAACAGCAGAGACCTTGTCTCAAAATTTAAGATCTTCATAGGAAAACGGATGCATATTGAGGCCATACTCTTAAGTGAAATAAATAAGACACACATGTGTAAATACCAAATAGTTTCTCTGGTGTAAAAAGCTAAAAGTGTAAATAAGATCCAAATTGTATAACTGATAATGTAAAATAGGAAGAAAAGGGCTAAAGGTGTAGGGGAAGTGGGAAGGGTAGGAGAAAAGAAATAAGGGAAAAGAAAAAATATGAGAAAGAAAAGAATGGAAACAAAGTCTTTGTAAACAGAGGAAAGGGTAAAGGGAGGGCAGGGGTATAGGAAAAAAATGAGAACCAAGACCTGTCATGTAAAGGTACAAGATCCCAATGATGAATGTAACTGTGCTGTGTACTTTAAAAATACCAATAAACTCAATGAAGAAAAAAACTGTTTAATTTTTTGAGCCCAGGGATTTAGCTCCATGGCACTGCGCCTGCTTTGCAAGCGCAACATCCTTAGTTTGATCCCAGTGCCGAAAAGAAAAAATAATTTTTTAACTTTTTTAAAAGGGCTGAGGATGTAGCTAAATGTGAAGGCCCTAGGTACTCCACACACAAAAAAAAGTTTGTCAGAGCTGGGAAGGTGAATTAAACCATAATCAGAGGGGATGGAAGGGTACATTGAGATAATTAGGAAGTGGGAGTTGAAGGGTTTGGAAGCGTGAAAGAGGCGCGGGTAAACCCAGGCTTCTCATGTGTCTGGGTGAGTGCCCAGGGAGGAGCTGAATTCAAACTGAAAATAACAACACAGCGGTTTACAGACAGAAAGGAGCGCGTCCTACTCTGTACACGCTGAGTTTGGAGCAGCAGTGGGACAGCCAGCAGGGGGCAGCAAGGGGTACAGGGCAGGTGCCGCGTGCAGGTAAGGCAGAGGCCACGAAAAACCCAAAGGGACTGTGGGAAGGACCAGGAAGCAAAAGAAAAGGCATGTGGGGGTCAAATCCCAAACCTCACGCCAGTTATCATCCAGGCGGGAATGCGTAACCACTCTACGTATTAAAGACCAGAGAATTTAACATCTCAATTGGTTTCAAATGTGTAAAATGGCAGGGAGGCGGAGGCTTTGCTGGAAGTACAAACAGGAAAGATGGGAGCCTGGGAGTCAGACTGAGCTGGAATTCATAAATCCATTTGTGGCTGGCTGGCCCTGTGGGAGGCACTGTCATATTCAGACGTGACCTAAGGAGCGGCCATTGCGTCCAGAGTCACCGAGAAAGTACTTCTGCCCAGCAGGCAGGAGTCCACAATCACTCATTCTTCCTGTTGCTACAAGGACCAGCAATTGCCACAACTGTTAGCCTGTCGGAGGCAGCAGCAGGAAGCGCCTGGTTCTGTCCTGCCTTCTGATCTCCCACCAGTGCCTCCTATGGGCAGACTAACAGGAAGCCAGCTGGCCAGGACGTCTGGGAGATGCAGCGCTGGCGACTGCACCGCACGGGAGGGCGGGTGGGGCGCTGAGACAATGCAGGGTAACTAGCACACCGAGTGCGCAGGCTTCTAAGGAGCTGGCAGCGCCAGGAGCACGCGGAGGCCTGAGAGAGCACAGGTGCACGGAGAAGACGGGCGAGGCCAGCGTTACTGAGGGCCTCTCAGAAGACACGGACGAGAAAGTGCCCTGAGATTTGGTAATTATGGGCTGGCTGACAAATTTACTGAGAGCAATTTCAGTGTTGTAGTGGGAGGCGACTCCAGATTGCGGTAGGCCGAGCTGTGGGAGGTGAGGAAGAAACTGCCAGTGGATATGCTTCAAGTTTGACAGAGAAGACAGACAGAAGGGGCGGGGGACGCGAGAAAGAGAAAGATCCAAGGTGGCAACTAAGTAATCTAAGAAATTAATCTGTGTGAATATGCTCCATCGGTGTCCTGAGACTTTCAAAATCCATATCCTTTGAATAAATAAAGGCCGAAACTGAAAATAAAAAAGACTCCCATGCCCTCATGGAAAAATCCATACTTTGAATAAATAAAGGCCGAAACTGAAAATAAAAAAGACTCCCATGCCCTCATGGATATTCCGGGAACAGCAATCTGTACGTATGTGTGACTCTAGGCGGGGAGGGGACAGGGGGTCAGGGTAAGGGTGGGTTTGGAGATCACGGTGACACTCCGAAGAGCAAAAGAACATCTTCCTAATGTCCGGGAGCTCTGGACTAACCCAGCAGCGGTTCTGGCAGTGGGGAGATGCAGCTACAGGACCGGACCTCAGAAGGAAGTGTAAGACACCACAGAACTACAGTGGAGACGGGGCACACAGCTACCTGGGGCTCCAGACCAGGCGGGCAAGCTTTGTCCGTAAAGGGCCAGAGAGCAGGGAGAGCAGGTATCTCGGGCGCGAGGGTCAGCAGTCTCTGCCCTGAGAACTCCATCACGGCAGGAAGGCAGCTACAGGCAAAGTGGAAATGCGAGAGCGCAGCTCAGGTCCCGCCTCCCTCCCACGTCTCCAGCATCTTTCTCCTCGGTGGACCTGCTTGCAGCTGCTCTTTCGGTACTGGTGTTCCCTGGGGCTCTGGATTCACCCCCTTTACTTAGGAACTAACATTTGGATTTCACATATCTATATGTCACGAAACATTTTTCTTTTGCTTTTTTTTCCTCCCAACCATTTAAATATGTAAAACCATTCTTAGCTCCTAAGCTATATGAAAACAGGCAGTGGGCTGGATTTTGCTTACAGGACCATAATGGGCTGAGAGCTCCTCTCAGTGTGGTCACAACTGGGACGGAAACCCAAAATAGACCCACTGCTCAACAGCCTCACCCCCTTTATTCACGGCAACACCCGTCAGTGAAGGGTGCCTTGGTGGCAGGTTACTTGGCAGATCTGGGGAAGAACAGAAGCGGGGTGAGCAGGCTGACTCGGGAATAGGCACAGCAGGCACCGGAAATACTCTGGGGATGAAGAGCGAGGCGGAGGGGTCAGACGCTCCAAAGAGCAGGGTGTGGAAAAGACAAGAATGAGGAGGACCGTATCACCCACCACCAGGACTATGGCCAGAGTGCTCAACTCCTCCTCTCCCTTCTGTAATCTGGGTACGACCTGTAATGAGTTCCAGAATTGGCAGCTTCGCTTCCGAACTCTATGTAACTCTTCCTCCTCCCAGGACTTCCCCACAGCCTCCAGCAAAGGTGTCTCAGAAGCAGCCTTTGATCGGTTTGAGGAAACACAGTGGGAAAGAAAGAGCAGGGCAGCCAGTTCTCATTCTCTATTTTGTCATTAAATACAAATGCCCCCGGGAGATGGATATGAGAAAAATGTATTGTGCACATTAAAACTAGCCAAAAATGTGCAATTAGGAAAAAGGGTAGGACAAAGGGATGCTGAGGGGGGTGGAAATGATCAAAACATACCGTGTGCATGTATGAATCTGTCAAAATGAAGCACATTAATCTGTACAACCAATTAAAAATAACAAAAGCATTAATGCCTCTGACAATAATGGCACAGAGCCTTTCGGAGCCATGGCTCTCCATTTTGTTGGATTTGTTTTGTGATGCTAGGGATTAAGCCCAGGGCCCAATGCATGCTCGGTAAGCGCTTATCATTGAGCCCGAAAATATACGCAGCGTAACCAGCGACTTACAGCTTGCTTGCTTCCCTCCGTCCTCCCTAGCAGTGCAGACGGAACCCAGGACAGACCCGCTACTTCTGAGCTATATCCCCAGCCCCAGGCCATGGCTAAGGCTCTCCACACCACACCATTCTCCCTTCCCCAGCTCTGGCCCTCTGCTGTCAGAGCCAGACTTCTTGGAAAGGCTGTAGGCTACTATGTCCCCACTTTCACACTTGTCAATGAACCCTTCATCCTCAACAATGAAATTATTCACCAGGATTTGGTTTCTAAGTCAAATGGATTCTTTGCAGGCTCTGCAACACTGGATACCGCTGGCCATGCCCTCCCTCCTGGTCTTTCCTTCCACTTGTCGGACATCCCTTCAGCCTCTCATACTCTTTTCATTCAGCTACCTCTAAGTATCGGTGTCTCCTAGAGTTCTGTCCCCAGCCTTCACCCTTCTTACCCAACATCATTGCCACGGACGGTCGGTCTCCTTTCCTTCCACCTGCCTTCAGTTACTACCCACTTGCTGATGTCGTCCCAGTGTCCCTCTTCGGCTCCGGTCTTGCTGAGCCCCACACTATCCATCTGCCCAACTGCTTCAGCCACCTCCCCTCCAATGCTGTGCAATAGACCGCGTCAGTGGTAGTCTCCACAAGACAACAGGACTCTCGAAGAAATAAAAATAGGTAAATTGGACAGCAGCAATTTTTTATTTCAAAAGTTTATTTCAACATAGACATAATAAAACAAAAATATTAGCCAGGATGACAGTGCAGGCCTATAATCCCAGCACCCTGGGAGGCTGAGGCAGGAGGATCACAAGCTTGAGCCTAGCCTGGGCAACACAGTAAGAAGCTGTCCCAAAATGAAAAATAAAAAAGAGCTAAGGATGTAGTTCAGTATGAAAGCCCTGGGTCCAACCCCAGTACCATCAAAACATACACACACACACACACACACACACACACACACACATGCACTCACAGGCAAAGGCCTCCAGGCTGTCTTTCAAATTACACGTTGTTGAGACCTGGTTTTTTTTTTGGGGGGGGTACGGGGGATTGAACTCGGGTACTTGCACTTGTGAGGCACGCAGTGGGATCAATGAGCTAAATCCCCAGCCCTCTTGAGAGATAGTTAAACTGTATGAGCTGAACACCACTGGACCCATGAGATGTGGCCAGTATTAATACCTCCCCATATTAGAGCTATTTCTGGAGAAGGGAGGAACACCTTGGACTAAGCAACCACCGCAGTACAGCTATCTTCAACATACAGCACCTCAAACAACCACACGAGATCAGGTGAGGTACACAAGAGATGTTGAATGTACTCATTACTGCTCAGATCCATTTCTTAACTGCTCAGTTGATATATGTCTCCTACTTGGTGATCTCTCATCCATAATATGTCTACCACATATTTTTTTCTTTTCAAGACAGTATCTCACTTTGTAGTTCAGGCTGGCTCTGGATTCACAACGCAGCCCAGCCTGGCCTTGAACTCAAAGTGATCCTCCTGCCTCAGCCTCCCAGAGTGCTAGGATTACAGGCATGCTTCACCACACCCAGCTCATGTCTACCACATATTGAGATTACATTCATCATAAAATTCAATGCAGGTCTGGGGATTTAGGTCAGTGCCACCTTGCCTGCCTCAAAAGTGCAAGGTCCTGAGTTCGATCCCAGATACCGAGAAAAGAAATTTTAAAATTTTTTAAATAAAATAAAATTCAATGTTGATTTATTAATTTTAAAGCTTATATTCTGGCTAGGCATGGTGGCACATGCTTGTTCCAGCACCTGAGACAGAGGTAAGAGGACTGCCATGAGTTCAAGGTCAGTTTGAATTACAGAGCAAGACTGTCTCAAAAAAAAAAAGTATGACCTTAGGTGAATGATTTAACTACTTAAGTATCTTCATTTGAAATATGTGAGTGATAACAATAATACTGACTTCCTAGGGCTATAAGGATTTGAAGAGATACCATGGGCTGGGTAAGCCCCTTGCAGCACCGCCTGACACACTTTGAGCACCCAATAAAGGTATTAGTTATCACCAAAGGCAACTCTTCCTGGTCCCTGATCATTTTATTTGATTTTGTTTTTTTGTTTTTTGAGACAGGGTCTCACTATGTAGCTGAGACTGACCTGGAACTGACTATGTAGCACAGGCTGGTCTCGAACTCACAGAGATCCCCCTGCCTCAGCCTCCCAAGCGCTGGGATTACAGGCGTGGACCACCACACCCGGGTATTTGATGTTTATTAATACCTCTATTTCTAGCCACTAGAAGAGAGTTCCTGAAGACATAATTCTGATGACGTCATTGCTCCAAAACTTTTAGTGGCTCCTCACTGGGTCCATACTGAAAAGCCCTGAAATCTCCAAAATATGACCTCCGCGAATAAATTTACCTTCTGATTTTCTCTTTTCTACTCTAAAATTTTCTTTCCTGTTTCACCTATTACAGCTCATATTCTGGCCACAGTGAATTATACTCTGTAAGAATAATTTGTGCTGTTCTGCTTCTGTCTTGCCTCACACCAATTTCTCAGCGTACCTGAAGGCAATGATTATTATTCCCCAGGACCCCACAGTACAACTGCAATTTTATCCAACTCACATTCTCATTTAAGCATCAATCCCCTTCAACATTTCCTCAATTTATTAGCCAGGTACTATGTCAGAACCTATGAATATTTTTTTAAAAAAAACAACACAGCCTTGTTCTCAAAATCAAAATCCAGGCCAAGGATGTAGCTCAGTGGCACCTCACCTGCCTAGCAAATGCAAGGTCCTGAGTTCAATCCCCAGTACCACCAAAAAAAAAAATATATATATATCTAGTAGTGAAGAGAAACGTATAGTTACACAAGTGGCACTGATGTAAAAGGTATAATCATAACAGAAAAATGACACCAAGGACTAAGCAGTCAGCTCAATTGGGAGGCGAGAGTTGGCTTTTCAGAGATAAGTGAAATTTTAAATGAAGGAAAAGCCTATTCCATGCAGAAGGAACATATGTGTAAAACACAGAGGCATGGAACAAAATGGCACGTCTGAGGAACAGTTTAATACAGCTGGAGTATAAGGTCCAAGACGAGGCGGCTAGACGTGAGTGACGCAGGAGAGTTAGGTGGACTTTTCTAGCAAGCACGAGAATTTGGATTTTACCATGAAGGCAATTAGGGATTAACAGCGTGGTGGATTAACTAACAGTCATCTTATAACACCCAACTGAACTGAATCAGCCTGGTTCTGGGCATGGAAGACCCACCTGAGGCTTGTTGCCAACACCATAAAAAGAGAACTGGAGGCGAAGATCACTCGCTGTTGGTTTTCTTGGAGAAGCTGCCAAGGATGGTTTTCCTGATGGAACTTGGCTGTTCTGGTCATTGGAGGAGTTCGGGCCTCGTTGTCACCGGGAACTGCTGCTGTTTTCATCAGGAGAGCTCTGTCTTCCCTTAGCCTGGCACAAATCCTTCACCCCACCAACCAAGGCTTTCTAGTTCCCTCCGCTGGTCTTTGGACCTTCCTGGTGCAGATCCTCAGTATGGACTTGCATGCGACACCACCGTGGGCTCCAGGCTCTGCTGGAGTTGTGGAGGGCACTGCCGTGGCTCTAGGCCTTTAGCAGGACCTGTGCAGGGCACTGCCGTGGGACCCAGGCCCTGGGCTAGATTCAGTGGATCTCTAGTGTGTGGAGAGACTTCTCGCACTCCTCTGCATTTCACGTTTTGGGTGAATATTATAGAATAATCCTATAAATTATATGTCCTGTACTAAATTTATTCCCTTGCAAAGCCCTGACTACAACACATAAGATTTACACCGTAATATATGGCCAGGGTTACATCGTGGAATCCAGCTCACTGATGACAGCACTGTGGCATACAAGAGAAGAACACCTAGAGTATTACCGCCCAGAAGACGTTCTGCAGTGACAGAGATGTGCCATTGTCTGTGCTGCTCCATGACAGGTACTAGCCATATGTGCCTACTGAGAATTTGAAATGTGGCTAGTGCACCGAGGAACTAAATTTAAAATATATTTAAATTCTAGTGGTGGTACATGCCCCTATTCCCGGCACCTGGGAGGTTGAGGCAGAAAGATTGCCAGGAGTCCGAGGCCAACCTGAATTATGCAGGGGGACCCTGTCTCCAAAAAACAAAACAAAAAAAATTGTATTTAAACTCAAATAACCACGTATATCTAGTGGCTTACCGCACTGGATAGTGCAGCTCTAGAGGTAAGGAAATTTCCTAGGAGACCGTCAACATAGCCTAGGTGATAGGATTAGGACAGGAGTGTGATTCAATGGATACTTAAGAGGCAAAATGCTAAGTCTGGTGGATATAAGGTTGTGAGAGAAAAAACAAGGGGCTTCTAGGTTCTAGGCTTTGTGACTGAGTAGCTGGCATCACGCAGGGTAACAGAATGCATCAATCCTGAACATGTTAAAGTGTTTGAGGGTACCCAAGCAGGTCCATTTGGTAGGAAATTTAGTTCGGGATTTCTGTCTGAACTAAAGATACAAATTTGAAAGGTTTTACGCCATTAAGTACGATACTACTTAGAACTAGAAGAGAACAGATATAACCCTGGCAAACCACAACATGTGGGAAGAAGGGGCTTAGGGAGTTCAGAAAGGCGACAAGGAGGAAAAAAAAAAGTGGAGAGACTGGCCACAGAAGTCAAGGGTATAATGTCAGGACAGAAGCATGATCAAGTGTCAAACGGTTCAGGAGGTCAAATGAGGCGAGAACTGAAAAATGTTTCCTGGCTCTTCCAATTAGGAGATCCTTGAGGACAAGCGCCTCAGGAGTAAGAGTTAAAGAGGGTGGGGATGGTGAGAGAGGAAGGGAAGGGGAGAGGAATAAGATGGACAGAGAATTTTGAGCATATACTAATTTTAAATACAGGTCCCGGATACTGGCTTTTACAAGGAAACTGAGAGATGACTAAGAGTCTACTAAGAGGGCAAGATATTGAAAAAATTGTTTTCCTTTTCTTTTTTTCTGGTCAGGAAATAAAGCTTAGACTTCCAAAGGGTGGAAGCTACGTAGCCTCAGGATAAAAGAGAAAGTTAACCAGGTCAAAAGTAAAGAGATTTTCTTAAACCGAGAAAGCAACACCCAAGGGAATGGGAAAGGGACATAGATGTGGCCCAGTTTCCAGTGGGTGGGGAACGGCAGTTCTGAGTTGGTTCTGCGAGGTGATATCCATAGGCGAGAGTGCAGATTCGAGGGTGAACCAGACTGAGGGATGAAGAGAGGTAATAAGCTAGGGACAAATTAAAGGATTGCTTTGGTGCCAACTGGATCACCTAGTTATCAATGCTTAAATTTATGAGGGCGCAGAAAGCCAAGCTTTCAGAGTTCGAGTTTTAATCTAGCTTGACCGCGGTGCAGAAGTGATCAGCTGGTAAACTGTACTAGGCTGAGGGCTCCAAGAACTCGGAGGTCTCTAAGAAGTCACTTAGGGTGCACTCTGGGGACGCGAGAGGCGGTAAAAGCTAAGAAGACCACAAAACGCCCACACCTACGCGCGCACCTCTGCGGCCCGCCGCAGGGACTGAGGCGATCAGCTCCCCCCCGCGGCCGAGCCACACTACACCCACCGAGGCGGGGGCCCCACC